TCGGCGTTCTGCCATAGAACATGTTGGCGTTCTGCCATAGAACATGTCGGCGTTCTGCCATAGAACATGTTGGCGTTCTGCCATAGAACATGTCGGCGTTCTGCCATAGAACATGCTGGCGTTCTGCCATAGAACAGGAAACAGATCAAAGCATCCCTACAGAAACATGCAGAGCTAAAGAGGGCAAAGGTCAAGTTAAGGTGGATCAGTGCAGCTTTGAAAACACTGGATCAGAACATTCTGTAGCAGAACCGGACTGGTTTTGGAAAACTACAGTGAGACACGTCTGGACTCTGTTAGTAAAGCTTTCAAACAATGTTCTCATGCAGCATCGGGTCGGTTAGGGTCAGAACCTCTGACCACATGCAGCATATCTACGGTCGGACCTTAGGGGTCCACTCTGATGGGGACCGGGGTGGGAGGGACCCAGCGGGGGGGTCCGTTCCTCTTCCCTGAACCTGTTTTCAGCCAATAGGAGAGAGTATCCAACATGGACGCCAGTGAGACTCCTGCGCTGGTTCCTGTGGAAATGTCAAACATGGCAGCTGCCTACCAGTACTGGTACTGCTGGTCTCTGTGGTCTCCCAGTTCATGGCCTTCTGGACGGCCTTCTTCCAGCGAGCGAAGCGGAACTCGCTCTCTAGGAGAAAAAGAGAAGCAGATGGATTCTCTCATGGATCATCCCAGAAACTGCCACTAGATGGCAGCAAGCAGCTAACTGCTCCAAAGAGCTGCATGTTTGCTTTGGTTAGGCTGAGCTGGATGGAGTCATGGTTCTACTGACGGTTCTGAGTCGTTCCTCCTTTCTTACCTTCTATGTTGATCTGAGGTTCGAACCTCTCAGATGTGACTTTTGGAAGATGAGCTGGACTCAGATTCCAGACGTCCACCCCCTGAGCGGCTCCGGCTGCCATGGCTGCTCCCAGAGCGGTGGTCTCTGACATGGCGGGCCGCACTGAAACAGGAACCACACCAGGATCAGACCTGAACCAGATCAAAAACTGGACTCACGTTCTAACCAGGTTCTATTGGATCTGAAGCAGCGGATGGGTCAAAGGTCACAGATAATGGTATTCATCTCTATACTCATTCAGTAGAAACGTCCTGTCCTGTATTTCTGGAACCATTATTTAATCTGCACTGCTGCTATTGAACTTCTGGTTAGACCTAAACTGCATTTCGTTGCCTTTACCTGTACCTGTGCAATGACAATAAATGACAGTGTCCCTACAGGAGTACGGAGTCGGGGTCCTTTACTCAGGGCCTTCTGGGGGTCTCTGTATAAGGGGAGCAGGCGTCTGGTCTTATTCCCCCCCTCTTACCGACAGGAATGCCGAGGATGTCAGCCTGCAGCTGCATCAGTAACCTGTTGGCCGTCATGCCTCCATCCACGCCCAGCACTGACAGGGGGATGCAGCTATCTTGGTTCATCGCATCGAGGATCTGCAAACATCACAGGAACCGTCATCAGATCAGTTTCGCCTGCAGAGATAAAGACCGTTTACCGCTGCCCACCTCTCTGGTCTGGAAGCAGACGGCCTCCAGCGCAGCGAAGGCCAGGTGATTCCTGTTGGTGAACTGTGTGAGGCCGCAGATGATGCTGATGAAAACAGGAAGTTCATTCAGTCAGGACACATCATTGTGACTGTTGCATAGCAGCGAATGGGGGAGCTGTGTTGGGGAGTCTCACCCTCTGGCACTGGGCTCCCAGTACGGCGCGTAAAGGCCGGAGAAAGCTGGAACGAAGTAGCAGCCGTAGGACGTTCCTGCCTTAGCTGCTAACTGCTCTGAAACATGTTTGAACACCAATATCTCCATCACTGGGTTTCCATTCCAGGACTGTGCTTCATGGAAGGGGTGAGGTTAGGGGGGGAGGACTTACCGATCTCTGAGGAGGACTGCACGATGCCCATGTTGTCCTTCAGCCAGCGAACCACTGCCCCTGCTATGGCGACGGATCCCTGCAGAGGAAGATCAGACCCTGATTAGTGCTGGCCCTGAAGACGAACATCACTGCCTTTCAGTTGGTATCAGAACTATCTGGGTCGATTCTACGGTTTATTGGTTTCCCATTACGGTTGAAACCATTTTAAAAGAGTCATAGAATGCAGGGTTTCCATTGTCATAGTTGAATGACGATAGTTCACTGGGTGAAATAGACGTAAAGAGGAGTTCAACCCCATCAACTTGTCCTTTCTCTGCAAATCTCATTATTCTAACCTTCCACCATAAAACGGGCGAATCCAATGGAGGTTCGGGTTTGAGTTAACTTCGGGTTTTTGCTTTTTTTGTTTTTGGCTTGGTTTTTTTTCCGGCCGGGCCTTTACCTTCCGGCCCGGTCCGTTGTTTCCGGGCCCGGGACCTTGATTGGGGGAGGTTGGAGGCCGGCGTTTTGGTTTTTTGGCTACAGTTGGGTTTACTGCTACAAGAATTACAAAGCAGGAAGTTTCTCTATTGAAGATGAGCCAGAAGGACGGGTGGAAATGCAGCGTTCCAGGCTGACCGGAGGAATGGGAACATTTTCACTGTCTTCCCAAGGATTTGAAGACTCTACATGCATGGATTATTTTTGTCTGTCAGAAGATCCCTGCATTGTTTGATGCTCAGCTGTTCATTTGCTCGAAGCATTTTACCAAAGACAGCTTTCAAAATGTTGGACAGTTCAAAGCAGAGTTTGCTAAACTTCTTTTACTGAAACGAGGGGCTGTTCCCAGCGTAAGACCATCACAACCACAGGCTGGAAGGGTGGTTCTGTCACTAAGCTGTTGATAGCAATGGGGGGGATTAAGTGTGGACTGGTGGGCTGCTGCCTGGACCAGCAGAGAACCATGAGCCGTCTGCCCTCAGCCGGAGGAGGGGGACTAGGGGCGGCACGGTGCCGAAGTGTCCAGGCTACTGACACCGTTTTGGGTACGGTAGCTTCGTCCCCCGCTGGTTCCCAGACCATCCCAGGTTCTGCTGCACTGTAGTCAACCAAAATTCCAGATGATTTTGAAATTCCCCCCGGACATTTATTTAGGTCTGAAAAGTAGGACATGTCTGGGAAAAAGAGGACGTCTGGTCCCCCTACCATCAACAATCTGATGTTTCACCTGCGTCTTTAGGCACTACTTGGTCTATAAACCAGGGCTTTGGACAGACTGCTCGGCGTTCAGCCATCCAGATAGAACGTTCTGCTGTTCTTCTGTCTCTGGTGATAATGTTCAGACCAAATGAGTAGAAAACAGACCTCTAGTGCATAACAGGCAGCTTTGTCCTTCCCCAGTTTGTAGGCCACCGTGGTGAGCAGGCCGTGGTCGGATATCACTGGCTGACAGGATCACAGCGGGACACAGAAAACAGGTTAAAATCCCAGGAAAGATGTCTACCCTCTGCCTCTGAAGATCTTTGAACACCTTACCTTTGTTCCTGTGTTCAAGAGCAGGAAGCATCCAGTCCCGTACCTTTACACAAGAACTGATCAACAGCAAATACAAAGAAAGGTTTGCTTACAAACATGGCGGTTTGGAGTCATGGCTCACGTGTTTTTGGCCTGTCCCTCCTGGAAGCACATCTGACCAACCAGAGCGGCCGACTGGTCTCCCAGACACTGGCGGAGAAAGGACACCGTCACTTACTTCCTGCTTTCTACAGCATGCAGGAAATGTCAGATTGGAAGAAGCGTTCGACCATTTGACCGAACTCCTGACGAGTCAACGTGAAGATCCCTTACCCCAGAGATCGGAACTCCTGCAAGCGAGCCGGATTTCTGTAGAAACAGGAAACGGTTCAGTTCTGCGCAGCTTCAGGTTTAAATATCAAGCTAAAGTCTTCAGTCATCTTTCCAGATATCCAAACACTGTTTGGACTTCGGTGGCTTTCCTCCCTCATGTTCAGTCTGGTTCTCCTCGCTGATTAATATTTAGTCTTTTAGAGATAAAAGCAAATCCTGGCTTATTGGATAACTAGTAAACATTAGATCCTTAAGCTGCTGCAATCATCACTAAACCAGGTTGGTTTTCTGTAAAGCCAGACCTGCAGCCCGTTGCATGTTTAGATGATATCTTTAAAAAACAAGTGAGCTTTATTACAGGGTTAAAGTGAAATGATAAATCTGTTATTGGGTCAGTTTTCCAGAGAATATCGATAACACCAGATAAAGTTGTTCTGTGGAAATAATCTGTTACCAAAACTTTATGGTTGCTTTTTTTAAACAGGCCCAGTTCTGAAGAAACCCATAAAAATGTTCTGAACCAAATCAATCCTGCAGGCCGCTGACCTCTGGACTCCAGCAGAAAGATAAGATACGCTGCAAAACAACAGATCATCTCAGTGGTTCTGAGCAAAGTCCTCCTAAACATCCGGGTTTGTGGAGGCAGGAAGCCGGTTCCGTTTCCGAGGCGATCAGAGCCAAAATAAAAGGATTTAAAACTGTCAATAAAACCTGACTAGAAGCACGGCTGTAAAAATCTGCTTCAGTCGGCTAAAAGCCCAACAGGTTATGAAAGGTCGTCATGGCAACCCAGACTCTGAAAAGAAGTTTACTTTCATTGTGAAGAGTTTCCTGCAGGTCTTCCTCTGCTATGATGTCATCATTTAATTCGGCCAGGTTCTGCTCAGATGAAAGTTTACCGCCACATAAAACTCATCGTTACAGAGCAGGAAGTTGGACCCTAAAGGCGCCGCCATGACGGCTAACAGAACCGTCTGACAGGACAGAACGCGTCTGTGATGGTTACCTATCCAGATATCAGGAAACCAACTGATCACCGCCATTGGTTCTAATGAGGAAAACCAGGAAGTGTCTCACATGAAACCATGATTCCCAGCAGCGGGATCACATGGATGGTCCAGACCAGTGGCGGATTTAGGGGGGGGGGCTACTTGGGCTACCGGATCTGGCTTCTGAGCTGGTCTGAGTAAAATGTGCAGCTGGAATAGGCTCTATGCACAACTCCACCATTTCCTGAACATCAGGAGGCTCCTTTGTTTCCTGTCTTTCATGATTGGATGCACTGATTAATCCAGGTGTGTATGACCTAAGTAACTGGCCAGACACACCTGGATTAATCAGTTCGTCCAGTAATGAAAGACAGGAAACAAAGGAGCTGCCTTAAATTCAGGAAGTAGTGGAGCTGTGCATAGAGCCCATTGACCAGATAGTGGCAGCATGCGCAGGAAAGCAGCCTGTAGCGTTACCATGCAGAAGAAGAAGTGTTTCCCTCTTGAGTCGAATGCAGCTGCGGCAAATTTTAAACGAATGGCGGATATCAACGGAAATGAGAAGCTCTTTAGAGGCTTCCAGCAGCAGCAGCACAAACAGATGTTTCTAAACAGACTGATGTTCCAGGTGTGGGAAGCTTTGACTGATTGGAGACGTTTGCCACAGTCTGCGAAAATCTGTTCCCTCTGTGTCAGTAGGACGCATCAAAGTTTCCTTAATCCTGTAATCTGTCATATTTAACATTAGAACTGGATTTAGCAGAATGTCTACTCGCTCATGTTCACCCTCAGGGCTAAGCCCCTGGTCTCCTAGAATCCTAGATCTGCCCCTGCTCCAGATGTTTCCCATTTGCTCTCATTACTCAACATGCTGGATGTTTAGTGAAACCAGGTTGGTTTGATAAAAGGTCCAGAATTTCTGGATCAAACCTTTCAGTAAAAAACCCAATTAGAAAAACGGCCGCGGCTGCTAATGGCTGTTAGCCTAGCAGCTAGACTTAGACTCACATTTAGACAACTTTCACTGTCCTTTTGTAAACACAGAGTGTAAACAGAGTTGACATTTCCATCCTAAAGTGCAGCAGTGATCAAATGTAAAGATTGGGAGAAAAACATGGTGCATAAAAATGCATTGATCTGGAAGGTAACAGTATTAATATCTATGGTGCAAATATGCAGAGTTTTGTTTGGTGTCATCAGCGTGATGGCGGTGGGGAAGAAGCTGCTGCAGAACCTGCTGGTCCTGCATTGAATGAACAGTCCATGGTGGGGGGGTGAGGGGTCATTGATGATGTCATGCAGCGCTGGGATAAAATGTCTTTAATGGAGGGAAGAGGAGCCCCTTGATCCTCTCTGCTGTTCCTCAGGGCCCCCCCCCCCACAGCAGGTGTGTGGATCGGGAAGTCTGGGCATCTCTGCTTAGACCGCAGCCTCCGCCCCCCCCGCCCCAGATAAAGAGGAAGAAGATGGACGGAGGGACGGACAGACGACAGACGGACGAAGGTTTTTAGTTTTAATGTTCGCAGTTTATATCCAGCTACCCTAAAGCTGCGGTTCTGGTTCTGGTTCTGAGACGACAGACGGACGAAGGTTTTTAGTTTTAATGTTCGCAGTTTATATCCAGCTACCCTAAAGCTGCGGTTCTGGTTCTGGTTCTGGTTCTGGTTCTGGTTCTGGTTCTGATTCTGTTCCGGTGGAGCAGCTTCAGGATCTGGAAGCATGAATCCAACCTCTGAATGGTTGAACAGTTGCAGAACCACATGAAACGGGTCAGAACCGGTCCCTGCAGGTCCAGCTTTATTCCAGGTTAACTGTTCAGTGGAAACTTCAGTTTCTGCCTTTAATGGAATCATTTTTAAAGATTTAATTTTACAGATTGTCTATGATTGGTGAAAATGGGAACAGCAAGGCAGGAAGTTCTCACCATGTGGCCATAGATCTCAGAGGAGCTTCTGACTAGGGGCAGGATCTCCATCGGGATGTCAAAGAAACTGGAAGAGAAGAAATCAATCATGGAAGCCACAAAGAACCAGCAAACTGAACCTGGAGCTTTAAAAAACTGAAGATCTGAGAACCAGTCAGGCCTGCTGCCTTCAGAGAAGAACCTTCAGTCTGAAGCGGACCTGAAGGTCAGAGTTCACCAGAGACCAGAGCCAGAATGAAGCCAAAGCTGAGGCACCAGTGGTTCCCTGTGTCTTCTGGGAAAATGTCCCACACCCTGCAATCCTTCTTTGACCTTCAAAGCTCCAAACATTCCTGGGAAACGCTGCTGAGCTTCGCATCGTAGACCAAACTCTAGATATGGAGCTGAAGGACAGACGGCTTCTGGAGAGGAAGCTTTACCTGCAGAGGTCCGGATCCCAGTCCATGGTGTGGATGTTGAAGAGCATGGTCCGGCTGGCGTTGGAAACGTCTGTGATGTGGACGCCTCCGTCTCTGCCTCCGGTCAGACACTGAGAGGGAGAAACGGTGAGAGAAGAGAAGAGGCTGCGGCGTGAGGCGGCGTTCCTACGGTTCCTACCCAGATGATCCATGAGTCCACCGTCCCAAACATGGCGCGTTTACTCAGCACCGCCTCACCGATCTCCGCCACGTTGTCCAGCAGCCAGCGCAGCTTGACGGCGCTGAAGTAGGTACTGATGGGAAGTCCGGTTTTATCCTGCGACCAGGAGAAATAACGGCAGCTTAAGCTGAAGATGTTCTGAGCTTTAAATGTCCAGAGATGTTCTACTGCTGCTCCTCAGCAGCTCCTACCTTCAGGTGGTTCTTGCTCCTGCCTGGAGTTTTGCTGATGAGTTTCTCTACTGTGGACTGAGTCCTCAGGTCCAACCAGACTGCAGGACGGATAAAGAAAAGACAAACCGCCATATTAGAACATAGAGAGAACATCTCAGCCTGACGGCTCCTAAAGGGAGGAGGAGGGTCCCCTCACTTTCATTAGCAGGGAGCCTCCATGTTGATCAGAGAGGAGAAGAAGAACAGCGTGAAGGACAGAAGGACATGAAGTTATGCTGAAACCATCCATCCATCCATCCATCCATCCACCTCCTTGGTGCTGGACTCACCAATGGCGTTGTAGAGCGGTTCTCCAGTCTCTTTGTCCCAAACCAGGGTGGTCTCTCTCTGATTGGTCACTCCCACAGCTGCAGACCAATCACAGAGGAACCATCGATCAAACTTCCAGGGATAAAAACCTGGAGACGGAACATTGTGTCCCACCTTTGATGTTGGGCAGGTCCACGTTGAGCTGCCTCAGTTTCTGGCACGTCTTCTCCACGCATTCATGGACAGACTGCAGGATCTCCATGGGGTCTGCCTCCACCCATCTGACCAGAACACGGCACAACCAGGAGGTTACACACATTAGACTCTTTTCTTCATATTTTGGTAAAACTGTGAACAAGTGATAAACCCAGTCCTGCCTGGACCTCCACAGCTCAGCAGTCCTTCCCAAATGAACCTAAATGATTCAACGAACATTGGACTTTACATGTTCCAGCTACGGTTCTGGTTCAGATGTTCCCCCAGGATGTCCAGCTTAGGGGTTAAGAAGGAGATGATTTTTGACTTTACCATTTGTGGTCTGTGTACGCACGCTTGTATGCATATGTATGTGTATATATACTGTATTTCCATATCTTAGAGCTCTTCTGTTCCTCTGACGGTCCATTGATTACAAGAGAGGTCGGACAAAGGCGAGAGCGTATCGGGAGACCAACAAGACCTCCCTCATCCTTGGCCCTATCTCAGAGAATTTTTTAGAAATAGTCAAAAAATAGAGCTTTCAGTTCATATAGCGGCATCTGGCTGTTTTGTTAAAGGTTACTTTATACTTTAAGTAGTTTTTGGAGCACATACTTTTTCACTTTTACTTGAGTAAAGAGGTCAAGTTGATACTTCAACTTTTACCAGAATGTTTTTAAACTGCAGATTCTATACTTCTACTGAAGTAACAGATGTGTGAACTTTTAACACTGCTGTATGTTTACATGCTAATATGCTGTTGGCAACATGGACCTTAAAACAATTCTTTTTTTTCATTTTTTTAACTTTATTTGTAGTTTTTGAACAAGGGAAAACACAAACCGGTGATGGCTAGAGCTAACATCCAGTATATAGATCAGTGTATTTTACTCTGCATTACTGATCTGAATCACAAGAATAAAAATAAATAACACATATAGCCCACCACCCGAGAGCAGGGAGACAACTAACGGTCAGAAGAGGCAGATATATTTTCTGATTCACAAAAGCTATTTGTCATGAGTCTTTGACTAACTAATCTCTCTCCTCTCTCTTTCTGGAGACGCAGAGATAAAGTCAATGGTTTCATTTCATGGATCCAGTGTTTAATGCGACTGGAACCACCGTTTGGTGATTGCCTTCTTGCTAGCAATCAAGAAAATCTTAAGTAAATATGTGTCACTTGAACTAAGTCCTTCAGGGAGTTTTCCAAGGTACGAGGAGGTAAAGGAAAGTCCAAACTGGGTCCAGGGTTTCAGAGATTATCTGTTTAACATTATTCCAAAAGACCTTTAATTAAGGACAGGACCAGTAAATTAGCATATAATCAGCAGAGACCAGCCCCCACCCTCTCCAGCAGGGCACCTGTGCGGCACTTAACCCTGATTTCTGCTTTGGTGTAATAAAAAAACCTGATAAGGTTCTTCCAGCCAAAATCCTGCCTTTCTGTAGAATTAGTAGTTGTAAAGTTGTTTTTTTTTCCACAGTTGAGACCAAAGATCCTCTGAGATGAAATGTTGGCTTCCCTTTCCACCGCTGTCTGATATGATCTATTAATCTCTTATTCACAGTTGGGAAATTTCAATAAAGCTCACCACAATTCTTTGGAACATTTAACTGTTTGCTTCCCTCATCCAACTTTTAAGGCAAAACCTTTTCAGTGGGTAACTTTGTATCGCCCATCAGTAATTACTCTCACTTCTCAGAGTTCCTATCTGATATGGCAAGATCTTTATAGTGGGAGGTTACAGCACTCATGCCACTTTCAGGGTGATAGCTTAAAGTCAGACAATGTAGCCCCATTGAAAAGGTGAGTTGCCAAACTCACCCAGAGCCATAGCTCTGTTGAACCGTCCATTCCACCTGCTCTTAGCAGCAATGATTTTATGGGATTCTTTATAAATAAGATTGATCTTATTAAAAATAAGATCATTAGCACTCCTCTATCTACGATTGGTTTGTCTCTGGAAGTGGGTTTGAAAGTTTGCCCACATGCAGAAAGAACTCAGAGGCAGGGTGAAAGTTAAACAGTTTATTGTGAAGGTGAGGAACTCAGAGGGACAAAACAAAGGGATTCTCAGCTTGGTGAATGTCCAGCGGTCAGGTGAACCAGAGATCAGAGTGGTGAGTTCATGGTCCATGGGATTTACAGGCCACTACTGAAACTTAGCCAGATAAGGACTCACAGTTGATGACTAGCGGTTGCTCCTTGTTTCCTGTTTGTGGGGGCCGCATAGAAAAGGTGATGCTTGGCTGGAGGGCGGACGGGCAGACTGGTTGTGGTCCAGAGGAGCAGCTGATCGGACTGTCAACCAGTTTTCATGAGGTGGACTGCAAACTGAAGCAGTGAATGTTTTCTAGAATCTCAGAGTGACCAATGGGTTCCCAAGGCTTGAAGGACCAGGCTTATCCAGTGGATCAGGAGATAATCCTGCCGGAAACCACAAAGGAGACAAAGGGTTCGATCAGAGGACTGAGAGAGACGAAAACCCAAAGCTCTGAGAGGCTAGAGGACCCAATACTGGCAGACACTCTGGTGACAAGGTTCTTCTTCTTCTGAGGTTTTATGGTGGTTTGCAAACTAGTGAGATGTGCATTACTGCCACCAACTGATCTGGAGTAAAAGCAAGGAAACAGGAAACGATTCACCTCAGAAACAAAAAAAAAACCTGTGTAACTTAACCCAACATAATAAATAATAAACCACATTTGCCCTTATAATTTAATTTATCTTTAAGTCATCGTCACTCTGCCAGTTTCTGATGGTCCCATCGGTCCTCCCATCATGCTTCCAACCATCTCCCAGTTCAAATCTTTCACTTCCAGATATTTTTCTGCAGCTTTCACTATTATTTTGATTTTTTCGTTTTTTCTTGTCGTCTGTGCAGAACAATTAATCACTTCCACCATGAATAGAACAACATTTCTCTTTTTAACAATTAGTGAGTCTTCATCAATTTTGGGAGATTTCTCCAGAGGTTTGGAATCTGCCGTGTGTTGAACTGTTGGTTTTCTAACTGAGATGGGATCCTTTTAGCAGCTTCAGCTTAAGTTATTCTGAGCTCAGATTTCATTTTTTTATTTCCTCAGACCTTTTGCTGCTTCACAGCCACGATAAGCAGCAGAATGTTCTCCACCACAGTTACAGCATTTTGTTTTAGCTTCTTTTCCATATTTTCTGTACTCATGCTCTCCTGCAGACCTTCCACGCCTCTGTTTTCCTTTACAAACTGCTGCTATGTGACTGAATTTTTGGCATTTAAAGCATCTCAATGGTGGAGGATTGTAGATTTTGACATTATAGCTGATGTAACCAATGAATACTTTGCTGGGTAATTGCTCTTCTTCGAATTTAATGAGCACCGATAAACTAAAGGGGGGCACGAGAGAGGGGGGGCATGAGGGAAAGGACCGCAGGCCGGACCCAAACAGCGGTGGGCCGCGTCGAGGCCTTCTTAGATGGGTCATGTGCTCCAACCACTGCGCCCAATTCAGCCGTTTGATTGAACTGTTCCTGAGCAGGAATTCAACCAACACTCAGATTCTACAAGTTTTTTATTCACTACCTGTATCTTCATTTACTATTATAATGTTTATTTTATTTAGGTTGGTAAATAAATGTGAAAGTTTTTATTTATTTATTTATTTTTGGATTTTAGTGATTAAACTAGGGCTGAAACAATTAATCGGATTAATCATGATTAATTGATTATTGAAATAAAAATCAATTAATTTAGTAATGGATTAGTGTTTAACTGCATGATAGAGAATCTGAAATATAACTTTAGTCAACAGAGCGACGCAGTCAGAGCAGCAATTATAGAAAAAAAGGAAAATATGTAAAAATGTAGCATTTAACATAATAAAAAAATGTTTTAGTCTGCTCTATCTAGAACTCCACAAATATAAAGTTTGAGTTTCACCTACGTTGATCTTATAAAAAATCTTCTTTAAGGAAACTTTGGCTAAACGATTATTAATCGATTCATTAAATAAATAATCAACAGATTAATCGATTTGCAAAATAATCCTTAGCTGTTGCCCCAAATTAATTTATTCAGTTGGAAGATTGAACCGTAGAGATAGATCTGTCTATAATGTCTATGTGTATAATGTCTATGTGTATAGTGTCTGTGTATAGTGTCTATGGTTTGAGCGGCTTTTATTGTGAAGGTTCGGGGCGGAAGAGGAAGGCGTGTGGTTGATTCCAGCATCCGGTGAGGAGGAGGCTGTTACCCGGCGGGCAGCCAGCTCTGCTCGGCTCTATCAACGAACATGTCCCGGTTTAAAAGGGCGGCTAACGTCGACAGTCTGGCGGGATTCCGGAGCTCCCAGCCGGAAGCTGCGGTTCCCTGCGGGTTACTGAAGGCGGCCAGGAAGAGCGGCCATCTTAACCTGTCCGGGCGGGGCTTGCTGGAAGGTAAGAGCCGCTGGAGGAAGAAGGTTTCTGCGGGGAAAAGAAGCGGGACAGCGGCGGGTCCCTGCGGGAAGGGGGGCGGGGTCCCTGTTGGAGGGGGCGTGTCCTCTGGGAAGGGGGCGTGTCCCTGCAGAACTTGGTCCAAAATCAACAACTAAAGGAAAGCCAGGGCTAGGCCATGGTGGAAGGAGGACCGCAGCAATAAAGCATTTAAAGCAACATGGAAAAATCTGACAGGAGAAAAACTTATAAAACTTTGAATATAAATATAAATATTTTATTAATCTTTGAATCAATCTGACTGGATGACCTGGATCTATAAAGTGCCCTGAGATGACATGATGTGAATTGGATCTATAGAAATAAACTGAATAGAACTGAATTAAATAATAAGCAGGAAAGGCTGATAAAACAACAAGTTTTTCTTCCAGAGGAGCAGAAGTTAAATAATCAAATGTTTGGTCAATATTAAAGTAGAAGTCAGACGTGCATCACTGTCTGCTGTTAATGATCTGTGGCATTAAATAAAGTTCTGGTTTTACTGCAGTGAATAGTGAACAGCCAGGAAATATTCATAGGAAGAACAAAAACTCAAAGCATTTAATTATATTTACAAAAAGAAAGAAAAAATGGATCAGTTTCAGCAATAGATGAAGAAATAAGAATGAATGGAATAAAAACAGCTATATAAGATACTGGATACTGAGCTCTAGCAGATGATGATCTATGTGATGCAATGTGTAGAAGATTAACCAGAAACATTAAAATTAATATAAAAACTTTTAAATAAAATTTGGAGAGAAGGTGAAGTTCCTAATGAATGGAAAAGTGCAGCAATCCTCCGGTTTAATAAACCAGGAAAAGATTCTTCAGTTAATTACAGACCAACAGCTTTAAGATTCACTGCTCTGACTGGATGGAGAGAATGTTAGGAAGGAGGAGAGGGTTTATTCTAGAGCAGGGAGGTCTACAATAGATGCTGCGGTGAGAATCTAATGACGTAGAACAGGGACTAAAAATGAGCAGTTTTCTGACATTGGAAAAGCATCTGACTGACTGTGGAGGGAAGGTTTATTGATTTAGTGAATAAGGGAAGGTGGGAGAATGTTTAACTGGATAGCAACAGTTACAGTTGGAGACGAATACTTGAAAGATTTTAAAATAGAAAACGGCGTTCCTCAAGGGAGTGTAATTAGTCCTGTCAATATTATGATTAATGATATATTCTTAACTCTAGATGAATTAAATCAGCACTTTATGCAGATGATGGATCCATACGGTCGAGGGGAAGGAATGACTCGTTCGTAGTTAAAAATATTAAGAGAGCCGTTAATAAAATAGAAAAATGGTCACATGATTGGAGATTCAAACTGTCAGTAAATCCTGTTTTATGATTTTCAGTAATAAAAGAAATATGGATATAGGAGAAATAAAATTATATGATCAATCTATTAAAAGAGGGACAGAATTCAAACATTTGGGATTATGGTGAGATGGTTCACATTCAGGGAAAATTAAGCAGTTAGAAACAAAAGGAAAGAAATTAATAAACCTGAAAGCTGTGGCTGGGAATGATTGGGGGGCTGATAAGCAATCTCTATTGAATATCTACCGGGCAGATCAGCAATAGATTATAGATGGATGGTATATAGAGCAGCAGCTAAATCATTGTTATAAATAGCAGATAAATTACAATATAGGGCGTTAAGAATAGCTGCTGGGGCAACTAAACTACCCCATTTAGGGATGCAGGATATAATTGGCCCCCTATCGGTATCGGCCTTAAAACTGAATATTGGACATCGGCCCCCCCACCGATATTTAACCCGATATTTGATCAGCTTCTGAGTTTCTAAAGTCTAAAAGAAAATTTAAATACTACTTTCTTCTTCCTCAAAAACTTCTTTTTTACAGAC